CGTCCATGCTGGGTCGCTCGTGAAGCCGGTTAGATTTCACCGAGTCTTCGTCTGCAATCATGCTAATTCGAACGTGTGAGATATTTTACTAGTGTTTTTATATCAGGGGTGAAACTCCATCATTGAGTCCCTCAGGTTCAGCGAGCAGCCTATAGTGGTTCTGAGTGCCAACGAAGTGGTTTCTTCCGATGAGGTCATCCACGAAGACCAGATAGCCTTCAGGGCGCCCCGAGCCAGTGCGGCGCGGGATAAACGGATTCCTGATGTAAGTGGGGTTATATGAGAAACACGTTGTCGGGAAATATGTTGTGATAGTAGCAGAAGTCATCTTATGGTCTTTTTCGATAACATTCTTGGGCCACACAGTAGAACTCAACGGCTATTGAGTGTTTATACTCTAATATAGTTGGATATCTGGCAGAGGGTCTTATTTTAGTGCACTAATCATTGAATAGTTGCGAAGCGAGCGAAGCGAGCGGAGCGTATTCTCTCACTTTACTAACACTTTGTGCGTGCGTGCGTGCGTGCGTGCGTTCGTACAAATTATCCAGCTCGATCTAGAGAGGTTATGATCACATGCTATACACCATTCGATAGCTCTCGCTCTGGGGATACTAGGAAAAATACGAAATTAGGGTTCCGCCCGGACCATGTAGATTTCCGTGCAAAAAACATATTTTTGCAGAAAAACGCCAGGCATGGGAATCGAACCCGGATGCCGAGCTCCGCCCCTTCTCCGAGAAGGCCTAGTTTGTACATCGATCTTTGTAGATATATTATATTATGGATTATAAACATGGATAATGAGGATAGATATCACTGTGCTGATCATAGTTCCGCATGCCACGAGAATCCATCGGGCGCACGCGACTGAACGTGACCGCAGCACGTCACGTGACGTGACGCACAGCACGGGAACGTGATCTTATGGTTTCTTACGCTCTTTTACTATCCCAAGCGATCTATCTCGCTCTAATCCTGGCATCGCGTTGGTAAATCGCGACATCACTTTAATAATATTGGAGTTTCGCCCGTTTTACGTTGAGTTGCGTAATACTCCATGTGAAAAAGACATCACATGTCTTACGCAAAATTCACTGCTCACATGCGTTTTTCGCGAAGTGAAATGTGAAATGTGCTTTTCACTAGTGTTTTTCACGTCACAAGTGAAACTCCATTATTATATTACTAAATTGATATCTATCCTCGATATTCTTGTAGGTTTGATGGGGTCAGCCGAGGTCAGGTTGAGAATCCCATATTAGGTGTTCACATGCAGGTGCGAGTTGAGATCCTCAGCGGCTCTATTGTTGGTGAAGATTCTGATAGTACTCGTAGTCGACAAGACCGGATGGTCTTCGCAACGAACCTCCCATTTGGGGTCACTCGAGAGAATTTAGCGCACGCCCTGGGCAATGTAGGTCCTCTTTGATTTGCATTTGATGAGAGTTCTCATTGAATTCAGATTGGCCGCATTGTTGACGTGGAGATATTCAACGGCAGGGCCTCGAGCGCGGATTCGATTTCTGATAGTTCGCAAAGTTTTGCGGCTCACGAGTCGCGTATAACAGCATTGATCGAATTTGAAACGGAAAAGGTCGGAGAGTTGGAGTTGAAGGAAGAGGAAGTCATCTGATGAGTTTTCAGTCGGCGAGGATGTGCCGGTCGAATGTGGCTCGGCTCTTTGGTATTGTTTGTACGAGTGCTGATGATGTTTCTAACAGAGTCATGCGCCTCGAGCCTGCGATATTCAAACGAACACTTATGATCACAAGAGTTGCCTGGCAGTAAGTGAAGTGGGATAGTCGAGGAAGTGTATATTGAAATTACTTCCCGTTTGTGGTTACAAAATGCGTATCGTATTACAGATATATGCTCTCTGAAGTATTAGAGAGTATTGGGTCCATCATAACTGCTGACACCAACGCACGTCTTGAGATGAGGGTTCGCAATGCGCCGATATTCGAGGTGGGGGAGGATGGGTCGAGGTCCTCTCAGTAGTCTACCGTGGCATGTCAGATCCCCAACGCCGACCTTTCCAAGACGTCCACTCCCTTGAGGAGCCTGCGTGTCACTTCTGAGTCGGCGAGAACTGTAGAAGTCAGTCAGGACCCTCCAGTTAGCGTTGATGAAGTTTTAAAGCTCAAGGTGGGCGTTTCGAGGGTTCGTATGATATTGTATTCGGCCGATCGATCAGGTCTTGAGAGACGCTGAGGCCCTGGGGGGCTCGGGTGGACATGAGGGTGAGACTACTGTTGATGTTCTGAGTGATACCAGATGGTTCGTACAAGAACAGCTCAACGGTGGTATCATTTGCCTGAGGTGATTATTAGTATTGTTGCTGCTGCCCGTTATCTTTTTGCAATACTTTGCTGTCATTTTCTCCGATTGTTATTGCTTAGATTTCCGACCTTTGCTGATTCGTATGCAGCCATGAAGAAATTGACCTCACCGGGTGTGGTCCTGCTAGGAGATAAAGTCCCTCAAGTTGAATT